AGGGTTGTGGCACGAGGAAGGTTGAGAACCACCGTCTTAGACAAAAGTAGATACATTCCAGGGATGAGTCACTGGCTCTGGGGGCATTAGGACCACACTCTTGGGCCACCGAGGTCAATTAGCATGACACCGCTCACAAAGACAACGGTCTACATGCTCTTGGTGAGTCATGACTGGAGTCTTACAAGCTTGTTGACAGCCATTTTGTTACTCTCTGCCCAGAGGGCCAGGGAACCCTTTTTTCTGACAAAGGTCATTCGTATAACATTACTAAAGAGCCATACATTTGATTGACTCACTCCTAAGGTGATGGCTGAAACTGCTTTTGTTTGGTGATGTGTGATGGTATTGACGATTTGGGGGGCCTTATATGGCCCTTGGGAGCCAGAAGTTCCCATGAGGCTGGTCACTCCATGCCCCCACCCTGACGCTGTAAAAAGTTCTGCACAAACAGGAAAGGATGTGCCTTTGTCAGAAACCAGCCAGCCAAGGAGAGTCAGGACCACGAAGGAATCAGAACCCCATGCCACTAATGACGACGACCAAAAAGGACTACCTGGAACTTTTATGACACCGATTGATCGATCGAGACAACCTCAGCCTGTATTTTCCACCCGAGCTGAGCCCAATCCTTTCAGTACAGCATTGAAGGGCACAGTTCCTGAGCTTGGGGCTGATGCACTGTTCTGCCCCAGCCCATCAGCAGCCAGGTCAGTAATAAACGTTGCTGTTTGCAAAACCCACCTGGCCTCATGACTGAACCTTATCATTCCGCTTCTCTGAACCTTACCATTTCCCACCTCTGTGCTAAGGTACCACTACCAACTTCTCTGAAAGGGTCACAATTAGAAGGTCCTGATTAGAGTGGGAGAAAAATGTGGACCAGAACACAAAATCTTGAATGAGATCAGCTTTACAGGTGGGATAGAAATTCGTGGGACCTCCTCAACTACAGGCCTTACCCTTCAGGTCTGGATGTGAACTTGCCTGTTACAAGAAACCATTGATGATCACAAGGGCAGCATTTACCAGAGGACAGCGTTCAGAGGGTTAGAAAAGAAGTAAAAATAGAAATCGAAAACACAGTCGATGGCCACACCACGCTGAACGCGCCCTATCCCGCCTGATCTCGGAAGCTGAGCAGGGTGGGGCCTGGTTAGTACTTGGATGGGAGAAAACACAAGTGATTGGCTTGAGTGTTCTCGATTTGACCTTGCGCCAAGGAGCCCTGGTGGTGCAGTGGTTACAAGTGGGGCCGCTAACCACAAGGTCGGTAGTTTGAAACCACCAGCTGCTCCTCCTCTATTCGATGAGACTTGCTCCTCCTGTAAGAGTTACAGTCTCGGAAAAAAAAAAAAAAGAGTTACAGTCTCGGAAACCCACAGGGGCCGTTCTAGCCTGCCTTACAGGGTTGCTATGAGTTGGATTCGACTCAGATGGCAGTGAGCTTGGTGTTGGATGTACTAGCCTTTACCAATGGCTACCTAGTACCGACAGACAAGTCAAGATTAAAGGTTTTATGAAGGAAGTCAACAGGTTGTAATGCCAGTGAGAAATGCTCAAGGCAGTTGTTTATCAGGACGTTATAAAATTCTCTCCGGTCTGCTCATAATTGCCCCAAAGAGCAGACCACTCTGCTGTAACCGTAAGGTGTTCAGCCCAAGCTCTGTGGCTCAGCAAATCCACCTCCCCGAATGAAGTGCCCGAAGGCATCCCACTGTGCAAGCCAGTCTCCGGCACAAAAGCACGCAAGCTTTTCTTGCTCCACCGGTTAGGAAAGCCACCCCTCTGTTCCATGCTCTGGCTCCTGGTTCTGCTGCTGCTCCACTGATGTTGTAGCTATCTGGATCCAGGGGGTTCCCTGCAGGGGTCTCAGGTCCACCGGAGGAGCTCCGCTCCTGGCTCTTTCTGGTAATGAGAGCCCTCCTCCCGCTTCTCAGCGGGCTTACCCTATACACAGCACGATGGCATTAGAGGCAATCAGTGACTCACAGGAATTGTGAACCCTCTCAGTTATCTTCCCCCACCTTCTCATCAGATCCGTGCAGCAGGAAAAGGTCACTTGGTGGGAGTTAGAGGCTCTGGCTAGAACCACCTTAAATAACTGACTGCCCCTGCCACAGGAGAAAGGGATGAGACATTAGAGGGGCTGGATGTGTATGACCTGTTGAATGTAGAACCTTCCCCTAACTCACAATAAGATCAAAGGAAAAATTACAGCACGCGGATCAGAAGGCACAGAGATGGGAAGTGACTCCCGTGCTCTGGTGGGTGAGGGGTCTTGGAGGATGGCTGCAGAGCAGGCTGTGGATGCGGAAATTGACCTGTTTGGGGAACAAGTCAAGTGGAGACTGGGCGCCCCCTGGGAGCAGAGCTCGGTAGTGGCCGCTGGAGCACCCAGAAAGCGGGGGGCAGTTTCAAAGGGGGGGTAGCCGGGTTGGCCAGTTTGGGTCTCAGTGGTAGCGAACTCGGTTGGTCACGAGTTCCTGGGATCCCAGAACGGCTAAGCTGGAAGGAAGCTCAGCAAGGCATGTTCAGGAAACGCGTCCCGTGCCAGCTCCTGACCGGGGCACCTTTTTGAACGTGGTCCTGCCGAACCTTCCTAAGTCGGCTCCAGGTGGGTATCGTTGTCCACGATCCCCATTTGTTTCAGATGAGGAAACCGAGGCGTGGTGACTTCCCAGGAAGGGGGCGCCTTTTGGGCGACACTAGCGCTTTCAGACTCGGTCGACACCGGTCTCCCAGGGCTGGGGAGGGACGCCTAGGTGCGAGGGGCGCAGGTTTTCCAAGGAACGACAGCGGGGTGGCACTCTCGAGGAGAACCCGCCTCCTTTGTAGCGACCGATGGCTGCGGCGGCTTTCCTTGAAGAGCCTTCCCGTGAAATACGAAGCTCTTGCCTCTCGGGGAGAAGGACACTCATACATTTGCATGCCCAGGTATCTTTCTTCTCAGCTGGCCACCATGCTCCCAACAGTAACATAAATGTTCCTCCTCCGTTAGCGAGTGAAGATTTGGGACTACATTTCCCGACGAGCCGTTCCGAACGGGGTGGCCGGCCCAAAAGGGAAAAGGCTTTCTGTTTCGGTCGGCTTGTAATTTGGCGAGTCTGCAGGGATGCACTTTTGGACCGCCAATGTCCTCTCTCCATAGAGCGAAGAGAAGGACTACGTTTCCCAGCGGGCACCGGTGCAAAGGTCGAGCGACCAGGCCGCCATCTTCATGGTAGTTTCCCCCCCTATTTCTGCAAGAAGCCGCCGTCGAGCGTGGACTACAAATCCCAGGTCGCCGTCTCCCCTTTCCTCTGGGCTCCATCTTTGCAGGTAGTCCACGCCCCGTCCCCTTTCCATTGTCTGGTGAAGATAACAGAGAGGAGCCCGGAAGACTGCAACTCCCGTCATGCCTTGCAGGACGTGGGGAGGGGGAATTTTGGTATTTATTACTGGCGGGCCAGGTACCCAAGGTGTTAGAATGAGGCCACCGGGAGAAGCTAGGTAACCTGCCATCTTTGTGGTAGTCTCCTTCTCCTCCTGGGTCTACTATTCTTAAGGAACACCAGAAGGCTAGAAAACTACTATTCCCATCGCACCTCTTAAGATTGACTATTAGCCAGGTGTACGCCCCTCTCTTCGCCATCTTGCTTGTAGTCCTCGTGTCTTTTCACCTTTCCATTGTTCCTGACGGGTAGAAATGGCAGCGGGAAGGAAGCAGAAGGACTGCGACTCCCGTCAGGTACCACACACGCGGAGGGTTGTGGACAGGAGGGCGTGTGAGTTTCTGGGAAGTAGGTCGGGTCGGAGGCGAAGGCCATCTTGTTTGTAGTCATCGTTGCCGCTTCTTCTCTATGTTGTGCAAGCGGGAGGCAGGGTCCGAGTGGACTCTAACTCCCGGCAGCCTCAGCTCCCGGGCTGGGACGCGCTCCGCCATCTCGTTTGTAGTCCCCGCGGCCCCGGCGTGCGCTGATTCCCACGGTAGCGCAAGGACCGCGGGACTACGACTCCCGTCTTGCCCTGCGCGCGCTCGTCCTGGAAAGTGGAGGGGGTGTGGGAAGGAGGGGGCAGGGGGCGGGGTTCCTCCGGGAGAAGGAGGGAGTTAAGAGGAGGAGGAGGAGGGAAGGATGAGGGAGGAGGGAGGAGAGGAGGAAGGAGGAAGGAGCTGAAGAGGGATGAGAGAGGCGGCCTGGGCCCCGGGCCGAAACAGCGCAGGGCCGGGGGACCAGGGGGGTTAAGATACCCCAATTGCCCCCTCCCCTGCCCCCTGCTCTCCTCCATCCTTTCCTTCCTTCCACCGCTTGAGGGGGAAGATTTATTCAAATTTTATTTAAATCC